GCAATCACAGCACTGAGTGTGTGTGGATATGTCTCACTCAGGCTGGCACATCTGGACACTAAGATTTTTCTCTATTCTTCGTCAAAACAGCTCAAGCTCTGTCAGGCTACTTAGGGATCGGGCGTGAACAGCTCTTAAGTCCAGCCACAAATTTGCAATTGGATTGAGGTCTGGGCTTTGACTTGGCCACTCCAGAACATTCACCTTGTGGTCTTTGAACCATTCTGTGTAGCTTTTGCTGTATGCTTGGGGTCGTTGTCTTGCTGGAGAATAAATCTTCTCCCAAGTCGTAGTTCTCTTGCAGACTGAGTCAGATTATCCTCCAGGATTTGTGGATATTTTTCTGCATTCATGTTCCCCTCTACCTTTACAAGCCTCCCAGGGTCTGCTGCTGAGAAGCATCCACAGAGCATGATGCTGCCACCACCATGCTTCACGGTGGACATGGTGCGTTTGTGGTGATGTGCAGTGTTTGGTGTTCACCAAACATAGCGTCTAGTCTGATGGCCAAAAAGCTACATTTTTGTCTCATGAGACCAAAGAACCTTCTTCCAATTGACATTGGAGTCTCCCACATGCCTTTGGGCGAATTCTTTCTACAGTGGCTTTCTCTTTGCCACTCTCCCATACAGCTTCGACTGGTGAAGAACCCGGGCAACAGTTGCTGTATGTACAGTCTCTCCCATCTGAGCCACTGAAGCTTTGAACTCCTTCAGAGTGGTCCTAGGTGTCTTAGTGGCCTCCCTCATCAGTCCTCTTCTTGCCCGGTCACTCAGTTTGTGAGGACGGCCAGCTCTAGGAGATTTAAACAAGCGCCATACTCCTTCCATTTCTTAATGATGGACTGAACTGAACTCTGTGGGATGTCCAGTGAGTTGGAAATATGTTTGTAGCCATCTCCTGACTTGTACTTCTCAATGATCTTTTCTCTGAGTTGCTTGGAGTGTTATTTTGTCTTCATGTTGCAATTGTAGCAGGAATACTGATGAACCAGAGACTGGACCTCCCAGACAGATGTGTTTATACTACAATCACTTGACACACATCAACTGCACTCAGGTGATCTCCATTTCACTACTTGTGACACTGCTGGCATCAACTAGCTGGACTTCTGTTGAATTAGGTCAGTCACTTTAAAGGGGGTGAATATTTATGCAAACACTTATTTTACACTATATATTTTTAATTAATTGACATTAGTTTGTAAAAATCTGTTTTCACATTGACATGAAAGAAGCTTTTTTTTGCAAATTCTTGACAAAAAAGCCAAATTATAATGACCATGATTTCATGTATAAAAGCAACAAAAGGGGAAAACATCCAAGGGGGTGAATACTTATGCAAGGCACTGTATGTAGCTGTCAGTAGGTGCCACAATCTGCCAGTGACAATAGTTGTCACAAGAGTGCCACCAGTCGTCACAAGAGTGCCACCAGTAGTCAGAGGAGTGCCACCAGTAGTCAGAAGAGTGCCACCAGTAGTCAGAAGAGTG